CGGGTTACTTCAGCCACTACCCATCCCGGAACAGGTTTGGGAGGATGTTTCTATGGACTTCATCAACGGTCTGCCCACATCGCAAGGTAAATCCACCATTTTAGTGGTCGTTGATCGCTTAAGCAAGTACGCCCATTTTCTGGCCCTCCGGCATCCATTTACTGCTAAAAGTGTTGCCGAGATATTCTTAGATGGCATAGTCAAACATCATGGGATTCCAAAATCAATTGTCTCTGATCGAGACCCGGTGTTTACCAGTCAGTTCTGGACTGCCTTGTTCACTGCTTCGGGAACCACTCTCAAAATGTCTACTACTAATCACCCTCAAACCGACGGACAGACCGAAGTCGTCAATCGCTGCTTGGAACAGTATTTGCGGTGCTTTGTCCACGCCCATCCGCACCGCTGGACTGCCTTCTTGCCTTGGGCTGAGTTTTGGTACAACACCACCTTCCATTGCTCTACCGGGATGACCCCCTTCTATGCACTCTATGGGCGACATCCCCCATCTATTCCGCGGTATTCTGGTGGCTCTTCTCCAGTGGAGGCAGTTGATCAATGTTTAGTGGGCCGAGACCAGATCCTTTCTCAGCTCCGCACGACGTTGGCTGCGTCCATTAATCGCATGAAGCAGCTGGCAGACAAAGGTCGTCGCGATGTTTCTTTTGCGGTGGGTGACAAGGTCTATTTAAAGTTGCGACCTTACCAACAACATTCCGTTTTCCGTAGGCCTACTCAAAAGTTGGGTGCTCTTTATTATGGGCCTTACACAATCTCTGCCAAGGTGGGATCCGTTGCTTACCGCCTTGACTTACCACCACACTCCAAAATCCATCCGGTTTTTCACGTGTCCGTCTTGCGCAAACATATTGGGGAGAGTCCGTGTTCTTCCACCCTGCCTCCTACACTAACTGAACCCGGAGACATACCACAACCAGAATCTGTGTTAGGCAGACGCACTCTTTCCCGAGGCCATGTTCCATGCGATCAAGTGCTGCTCAAATGGTGCCATCTGCCACCCGAGGATGCCACGTGGGAAGACGTTGCTGTGGTGCGTGAACAATTCCCTGCTTTTGACCTTGGGGACAAGGTCGCTGTTCCAGGAGGGGGTATTGATAGGACCACGGGCCGTACACGAAGAGCCAACCCACGTTATTTGGATCCAGATACATTTATCAACCAATTGTCTCTTTGGTTGGCCCATACGGAATAGAGACTGCTGGAGACTTATTATTTTCTAATATTATTATTTCCTTTGTTATATGGTCAGTTATTTACAGTTTTAATCATTGCATTTGTGGGGTGAAACCACTATGCACGTAGGAGAGAAACATGCCTTGTATTTCCAGTATTTAAAGGAGGTGCTTGCACCCATGTAGGGGGGAACGAAAATATACGAAAAAGTATCTGCTTCTGTCATTGTCTTCTAGCTTCTTTCCTTGTCTATTCTCATTCAAACACTCCTGGGCTTATCACTATATTATAAACGCGGCTGAGATCGACACTTGCGAAAAAATTTGTAATGTTTTGATATTTTTTTTAATGCTACTGAAACTTTTAGTCATGTTTATAAACCTACCGCAAACCAATTTATTCCACAAGCTGTTAATCTCGCCGATGCTTTTAAAGAATTTCAAAATGCCGTTTTCGTTCATTATTTTTGTGATTCTATGAAGGAAAAGTTTTTAAAATATTATGCGCATATTCCCCATATTTATGGTATTGCATTTATTCTCGATCCTCGTTATAGACTTGCTAATTTGGAAGATTGTTTCAACTTCTATTATCTTGCGTTTTTTGGTGAATTTCCAATGTATGACGATAACCCCATAGATCCGAAAACAGAATAAAACGAGGTTAGTACTTTATTTTATGCCTTATTTAATGAGTTTCGTGCACAATATAGCAACGCTCCCCCTCCCCCGTCACGAACATCTTCATCTAAAGGAAAATCGATTTTTAAATCTGCATTTGGCAATCTTATGAAAAAAACAAAAACAACTCACGTCACTGAACAAAGTGCATTGAATGAGATTACTTTGTATTTAACATATGAAGTTGATTTTGAAGAAAATGATGACTTTGACGTTCTAGACTGGTGGAAGTCAAAAGAAAGAACGTTCCCGATTTTAGCACGGATGGCTAAGCAAGTACTATCAATGCCGATTTCAACAGTTGCTGTGGAACAAGAATTTAGTTCGGCCGGCAACGTCCTAACGGCATCTAGATCGAGATTGAGCGCGGAGTCTCTTGAGACGCTTATATGCTACCACGATTGGTTGAAGCCAACTCAAGAAATGAGCATCACCCCCTCCCAAGATTTTATGGATGACTCAACAACCGATGGTGGCTCTACCTATGCCGGAGATTCCGATTGATTAGTATTTTAGAATTTATTATAAAATGTATTTTATAGCACTTGTCAAATTTATTTATACTTGTACTTCATATTTCAAAATTGTAAACTTGTACTTCATATTTCAAAATTGTAAATTTGTAGTTGTACTTCAAATTAATTTGTAAACTTGTACTTCATATTTCAAATAAATATGTGTTCACTTTTTCATATGTAGCACTTCTCAAATTAATTAATTGGTTACAAACTAACGACTTAAAATTATTTTTCTAAAATATAAAGCCGGTTTTTAAATTAAAAATACATTTACAATATGTAATTTGTTTAAATACTTATACACCTATTTTGTAACATTTGTAAATTATAAATCAAACCACTTTTCTAAGTACAAATAGTTTTAGTTTTACTTAATTCATTAAATTAATTAATTTATTTTAAAATATGTATAACTTAAAAAAAAATTGGAATCAAACCTCCCAAACGGCTATATAGCCGTTGGGGCTATGGGTGGGGGGCAGGGGGGTCCCGGGGGTGGTGGTGTGGGGAGTGGGGTTCAAAAACATCTATAAATACATCTATTTTCTAACATTTTTCTACACCTCTTCTCCAATTCTTCTCCAACTCTCCTACATCTACATCTTCTTTTAAATATGGAAAGTACATCTTCCCTTATGCAAAACAATTTTGACAAGTGGAAGGACCCGAAGACCGCACTGTGGTGGGCAACTTGTAGGTGGTGCAAGAAAGAGTGTTGCTTGGGGCGTTCATACGGATACGGGATGCCAATAAAACATATGAAGTCCTGTGACAAAGGGAAAACAATAACCAACGGTGGCGGAAATCCCAATTGATATTCATTAGAAAATGTATTTCGTATTGTTATTTTTTTCTCAATTCTCAAATGTACTTCTTATTTCAAATAAATGCACTTGAACTTTGTTTTTAATAGGAATTTGTATAATATATAACTAATAAAAAAAAAATACTTACCCGGCCTGGCCCGGCGGGTGGCCCGGCCCGAACCGGCCATTGCCCGGGCCGGTCCCGGGCCTACCATTACAAGACCCGAGACCCGACCGGGCCTTGACCCGGCCTGGGTCCATCACTAACTATTAGTAACACCTTTGAACAATTCATCCAAACAGGCCCCAAGTACATGAGTTTAAGTGATAGATGTCTAATTGTAGAAGAGTCTGCCTGATCTTTTTTCCAAAAAAACAATGACCAAGAGGTGAATAAATTAATAATGGTGTTGTGCATAAGTGCATTGGGTAAGTTCCATAGTCTTAGAAATGTATTGGGAGAAGGGCCAAAAATGACACTGAAGTTTTTAATGAATCTCAGATTTGACATTAAGGTTTTTGGTGGAGCAAATTAACCCAAATTCCAACTTATTCATTGTTTTCAGCCACCCACTAACATTTTGGTTAAACGGTGTTTCACCTAAACAAACACGACAACTTAAAACTAAGGAAACATCAGAAGTTAAATGTGTGATGTCTTCTCACTTCTCCTAGTCTGTCGTCATCTCCGCCTGCTGTGTTTCAAAAACCTAACAGACCCACTGACGGAGGATGATGTTCAAAGATCGAACTTTCTCTTCCAGGAAACATGATGCTTGCAGTATAGATGGATCCACCAATAGCCCGTGCTTCATTGAGCTGAATTTTCCGATCCAAACTGATAAAAAAAAAAGGCAAACTCTGGTTCTGCATCCAAGAACAACGACTCTCCCAGTAAATCGTCTCCGACATCCAATCTAACCGCTAGCTTCAAGGATAAGGACAAGCTCGCTAACGTCAAAGATTTCACACCCCAAAGTCCTAATCCCAGTTCAGGAGGAAGGGAGGGCTTAGGTTCTTCAAAGCTTAAGAAATCATGGCTTAGGTTATCTATAGAGAAAGTTGGAGACTTGGAGGAAGAGATCAGACCCTAAATCATGGCCATCCATAAATCTATGTGAAAAATTCTTGGAATGTTTAATGTATTTTGTATTTAGACTTGGATTTTCTAAGAAGATGACTCAGAAAGTTGTCTTGAATTGAGAGTTTCAAGTGGGATTCTATACAAAACAACCTCTTGAAATTGTTTAAGACATAACTTGGTGCTATGCTTCCGCAATCCATTGTGAGTCTGCTCATGGGTGATTAACTGAACACACTTTGGTTAGTCATTAATGAAACCCTTATGTAGAGTATGAGTTCCCTCCTACCAGAGTACCAGAGCTCTCTCTATGCGTGGAAAAGAATGGGCAGGGGAACTCAAAGTCTAGTTTGACTCAGCCATGTCAGACAGGAGCAGCAGAGTATAAGTGATAAGCACAGAGAAATCGACCTTGTGGCATGGAAAATTGGAAAGGAGAAGGGCGGTGTGAAGGAGGATAGAAAAACAATTGAAAATCCTGTTGGGTAGATAACGGGAGTAATTCGGATGGTATTGTAAGAGGGAATCAAGACTTTTCCTTTCCTTTAATACGGAGTAATAACTTCAAACTAGAATGAGTAACTTTTTAACGCCTATTTAACGGAAAGGTTAGCGGGTGGCTGAAAAGCACGGAATAAGGTTGAATGTGTGTTTATTTGGTCTATTTAAAAGTTTGATGTCCAATTCGAGATTCATTAAAAACGTTAATGTCATTTTTGACCCTTCTCCCGAAATGTATTCATAACAATAGAATGAAAAATAATAACATAAATAATAATAATAATAATAATAATAATAATAATAATAATAGTAATAATAATAATAATAATAACAACAACAACAATAATAATTATCATCAACCCGCTTGCACCTATAAAATCTCCATGTCGGACGAAGCTTCTGTTATCTTCGCTATTTATCAGCACAGCATGTTTAGATGACAGGCCTGCCTACTGTGGTGTGGAAATCCACATATAACCTCTTGGCGAGTTTAATGGATTTTCAGCAGCTCCTGGTTTGCTGATTCAGAAGAAGAAGAGCCAACAGACTGCAATGTTTTTGACATAATAATTTAGTTAAAAATATTCCATTTTAGGTGAACTAATTAGACTGTTATCACTTATGGTCACTGGCTTCACTTTTTCCATCACTTTTTCCATCTTTGGTGCAGTGAAAATGGATTCATTCTACGTTTGCTCCTTTTGGTCACTTGTATGGACAACTTCCTTACAGGTAATTTGTTTTTCCCGGATAAGTAATCACAATGACTGAAAGTGACCAGAATTAGAAGCAGTGCACCACAAATGGAAAAATTATACAGTAGTCGGGAACAGGGAACAAAAAATGAAATGACCAAGCAATCAGAAGACCAAGAGTGAAATATTTTCAAATCATTTGCAGGAACTAATACGATTTTTGTTTTCTCCTTTTAAAAAAACTACCGCTATAAACTTGCCTCAGATGCAAAGGAATCGAGTTCCCCAACCTTCTTCAATGAGTTCTTACCATCTTCAAATTCAGGCAGAGCTGCTTTACAAAATGTAGCAAACCGCTGATTGTATTATTTATGTCTATTATGTAAAACCTAAGATATCTAATTATATGTTTAAAGAAGCTAAGAAATAATCATATTCCATTTTACTTTTCATTTCTCCAAGTAAATCGAACATAAGAAAATTACTTTTCTGAGACACTTTTTTATACTCCCGACAGCAGTTTTCAGGATCCAAACATATCCTAATGCATGCCAAGAAATGATAAAGGAACTGTTAAGGAAAGACTGGGAAGTTATACACCGCCACCACGCAGTGACACAGATACATATATGAATTTATGCAAGCCAGCTAGCTAAAGATGCCATGAAATGTTAGTGATAAAATGAGTTTCTATCTAAATAAGGCAGATGTAGTCGTAGATTGATGAGAAAGCAAAAGTTGAATGAAAGGACTTACTCGTGGTTTCCTCTGTGACCAAAGACTTGTCTTGAATGTTTCCTTTTTCATTTTGAGCTTCACCTTTCTCCCTCAGGCCTTGAATATTACTAAATTGAAAACGGATACTAAAAATATTCAACATGTCTATCCACTAGTAATAGATAAAAAATAATGCAAGATAAATTCAACTATTCATTAGTTTGATCTGATAAATGCACACCCATATAAGCTATCTTTCCTTTGCTGAGAGAACATTCTCATTCAAAGAGTTCACATTCAAAATTAAGTTCTAGCTAACAACATTTTTTCTTGAATAGATTAGAATGTCAACTATTAAGACATGAGCTCATACAAAAGCATGGAAGTATGTACTAACTCCGTCACAAAAAGAGTAATCTTTGAAATACTAAAAAAGGTATTATAATCATCATCATCATTACCCCAGTGCCGCAAAGTCTCCCACCTACGGTGGGGTAATGGAGGGTCGGATGTACGCAGTCTTACCGCTGTACTAAAGCACTGAGAGACTGTTTCCAAATGACCCATAGTGAAAATCGGGTCGAAAATTGCATGAACTGACTGCTGCTTCATAATAAAGAAGCAATTTAGTGAGTCATTTTGTTTTATTCCATCATATTTCCAAGCCAAAAATAGTGAGTCTTTGGCTCCATTGCAAATGATGGAAAATAAAAGGTATTATAAGTATGACTATTTTGGGGACAAAAGGGAATATACCTTAAAGCTTCCTCTTCCTTTCCAATAGTAACATTCTCTTGATGTTCAAACACAGAAGTGAAAATCTTTCTGTCCTGGGATAATTTGAAAAACACTTTTAAATTGATTAAACAAAATGAACATGAAGTGTTATACTAGTATGACACAAGCACTTCATGCACCAGATGGAGTTTTTTTCAACAAAATAAACATCTAACCCCTTCACTCATACTTGAGAGACCATCCTGTATCTTCTTCATGAGCACACCTAAAGCGGCTACTTCAAAGTGTAACTCCTGACAATCAAGTATATGTATCAAGAAGTATCCATTAGTCAATAAAAGTGACAAAATGAAAAACAAACAGGGCACGAAATGGCGAAATGCTGAGACCTTGTTCTGTGACACTAAGTTCTGAATAATTAGTTCCTTCACTGACAGATCTTGCTGAAGGTATGCTTAGTTAAGATAAAAGAATTCTCATCGTTTGAAGGGGCATAAGAAAAGTTCATCATTCAGATATGACATATTAATATGAAGGTCTGCTTGTATGGATATCTCCTCAATCTTTGGTTGGAAGTCCCTTTTTAGATTTGCTGCCTCAAGTTGCCACTCCAGATTCAGAATAGTTTTGTCCCTTTTCCTAACCTCGAGTTCCTTGTTCCTCAATTCTCTTTCCAGGTTATTTATCCTTCCTAAAAAAGAAATATACATGATAGGCATAAAAAAATCATATGCAGTGCAAAAAAAAAACCATGCATTTGTTACATTGAAGTATTGATGACAATCATAACAAACTGTTAACCTAAATAAACAAATAGTTTTATTGGACGATGACCTAAGAATGTGACCTGGATTCAACAATTATATAGTGGTGGAAAAGTACCTAGAAACAGTGTCTCAAGTGTTGAAACCTCATCAACTTTACTCCTTAACTCAACAACTGGAAAACCAAGAGAAATTCGGAGGGGAGAAGAAACAAAATGGAATGAAAACAAAATAATCAACAATGAAAAATGTTTGGATTGAATGGGTCTATATGTGGGGCTAGAGAGTATGGCGATAAAAACAATACATATCAATTTAAATTATCCATCAATAAGTGTTTTCATTGTCTTATTTTCCGTTTTTTCTATAAGTCGGAAAAGGCCGGTTAGACATTATAATCTTTGACCTGAGTCCCCAACCTTACTACTCATTTTTTGCTGGTATGATCTACAGCCCCTCATATAGACCTTATCCATCTAATAACTTTCCTTCAATGCCCAAAAAGTGTACATGCCTACTTCCTCTCTTGCAATCAGAACACTATGTGCATCATCGACTATTTGCCTGATGGAGGAAGCCTCCTTTTCAATTGAAGCAAACCACATGGAGTGAGCTTTTATCTTTTCGGAAAGGATATCAATTTTTCTATCTCTGGATTCAATAGCCCGTTGCATTTCACAAGTAGAACCCTGCAAACTTAAAGTGGCAGAAACTGAAGAACAGGAAAGCTCAAACGAGTCAAATTAAGATGATGAACTGGATAAAATTTCTCAACCAAAGGATTTAAATGGGGGAAAAGTCAAACAGAGGTACCTCATAAGCCTTAATGAAACTGTCTCTGGATTCAAGAATGCTGTTTATGGTTCCCTTCATCTCTTTCAGCTGGCTCTCAAGCATATCATTGTCATTTTGTAGCCATCTCAGCTGCCATGGTTTGAAATAGAAAAAGTAAAAGATTGAGATGACACGAAATCATCAACTTACGTTCATATTATTTCGATAATGCTGTGCTATTAAACTGCAGTAACGTGCTCTGAATTGAAAGAAACGTTTCGACAAACATGTACTAGTCAATCACCTTTCTGTCTAGCTTCTGACTTAGCTCATTCGACAAATACAGTTCCGCGTTTACTGCAGCCAATTTCCCGTTGAATTCTTCCTCGGCTAGCTTTTGATTCTGTCACAGGCAAGCTTCAACACACTTACACTGATAAATGTTATAAGGAGATAGTTAGTGTGATATAGATGAGCCACCTGGATCATAAGCTGGAGCTGCTCAGAAGCATGGCGTTCTCTTACCTACGAAAGTTTAAATGCTAACAAAATGAGGATTTCGGGAATACGAAAATTTGGGTTCAAGAAGTACTTTACTTTCAGATCGCGAAACTCGGAAATTAGGGCATGAAGCTGGATCTTGAATTGTGATAACTTGACAAGCTCCATTTTGCCGCAAAGTTTCAAGTGACGAAAAGATTTGAGTTAAACGGGAAAAGTGCTGAATTGTTCAGTACGGACACAATTAACCCCCGACTAAAAATAGCTTTATGCAATAATAGTACTACAATTTTTTATTATTCCCAAAATATGAATAATTTGTGTCATTTCTTCTTATTCTACCATCTTTCTATTATTTATATTGGATTACATTTATTTATTGATAAGAAAATCATTGTTTTGATTTAGATTTGAAACAAAGTACAAGGACTACAAACATATTTAAGTCATTATTTTTTATCGAATTGTTGCTTAGATTGTCTTTTCGAGTTTCAACCTAACTTGGCCTTTCTTCTTTTTATATTTATTTTTTTAATGATAAAATAAAGGTAAGAAATAGAAAGTATTGTGACTACAGACTACCATGAGTCATAACTTCACCATGCTTAGTCTTGTACGTGTTCTCGAGTAAAATCCACAAAAGACTTCAATTTATCAAATGTAAACAAAATAAAAGAAAAACAACAATGTCCTTTTATCAGTTTCATCTCAATACACAAAATGAAGTCTTCAAATTCTTCAGTCAAAGTCAAATGATATCCTCTAAATGCTCCCACGTTAGATGAATTTCTCCAAAATTTATTTTTTTTCTCACATTTATCTCATTTTGACTTTGGAGCCCTTTCGAATTTCATCACAACTTCTCATTTGTTTTCCTTTTCTTACTGAGCACTCATTTTTTACCAAATTATTGCTTAGGTTGCTGATGGATAGTGTACCCGGGGTAGCTTGTCCGAGGGTTATTGTGCGAAATAACTAGAGAGAAGTCAGAGCAAGGAAGTAAGAGAGAGAGAGAGAGAGAGAGAGAGAGAGATGAATGTGTTAAATGAATTTGAGATATTGGGATGCCTTTACAAAGAGAAAGGGGTTGCTATTTATACTAGCCATAAATGCTAAGCGCGTACACGTGTCAAACATTTGACGGTCGAGGGTCACCTCAATCGGGGTGGCACCGGCATTTGCATGTGCACCGCATTAAATGCGGTGGTTGGACGTGACCGCCGCATTGAATGCGGTGGTTGTTTGTCTCTAGAAGGAATCTTTGATGAGTGTTCTGTAGCTGAAGACCTATCCTGTGGTCGAAGGCTCTGTGTGGCCGAAGGCTACACATGTGTCGGGGGCACCCCGTAGCCGAAGGCTCCTGTTTTCTGGTATTTTCTCCCAGTAACCTCGTATGCTTAAAACCAGTTGTGTTCTGGTGTTCGGAGCCCTCGGCCATAAGGCCGAAGGCACCCTCATGTGCTCCATGGGCTTCTTCATGCTCGGTCCATCGCATTCAGACCTTATGTGCTACCTGGGCCTATTGGGCCTGTGTAGAGGAAGTAGGAGTCTGTGGGCCGGGGGTCCCTGGGCCATATACTCCATCAGGAGTCCCCCACTCCTTTTGCCGAAAGGTACTTGAGGGAAAAGGAGTAACGTAACTGTGGTTGTTCTGTCAAAGGCGCTTTTGTTTGTGGGAGATTCCTTCCACTGATGACTTACTCTCTGGTGTTTGCCGAGAGCAGGCCCTCATTCCCCCATATGTTGAGGGCTGAGGGTTTTCTGAGGAGGAGTGCCAATGAGTTGTCTGTATGTGTTGTGGTGAAGGCTGCTTTATCACCATTGACACATTTGTCGACAATTTGTGAGAACTTTTATATTTTCACGTATCTCCCGAGGGGTGTGTCGATAACATATACCCGAGGGGTCATGTTTATCGTTGTTCTCCCGGAGGCTACACTTGTCCATTGTGTGTGTGTGTGTGTGTGTGTGTGTATTTTGTATGTGTGAACTTTTGTGTAGTGTTTTCTCGAGGGGTGTATCCCAGTCCTCCCCTCCTTTAGGCCGAAGGCAAGTTCGAGATGAAGGAGTTATTATGTGTTGCATTGTCCCGAGGGCATATCTGGATGAAGGGTGTGATAATATGTGATCACCCGGAGGCTCGCATAGTTGTTACTCGAAAGGTGTCAGCCGAGGCCTCCTCGTTGTTGTCAGGATACAACCGTTGGAATAGAGCCGTTGGAGGTGGGGTCCACGTGGCATGCTCCTGTTGGCTAAAACCTTAACGTGGCATGCCACCCATTAACTTAGGCGACGGTTGGTTATGATGGGCTTCTAACCCAAGGCCCAGTTTCGAGGCTTAACCGTGGTTGGGGGCGCCTATAAATACCCCAAGGCTAGAACCATTTGCCTTGTGCGATTCCAAGCTATAGTGAAGCTCTGCCAAATTTTTTAGGGAGAGAATACTTTGCCTTCAATCAAACCCAAGTATTTGAGGCCAGTTCTTATCCTGTTCTTCGCTTCCTTAGCATATTTTGATTTTCTTCCCTTAGATCTTGTGTTAGAGCCTTAGAGCCTTTAGAAACCCATTCTTCCCAATTCCTTCCGCCATCACACCGAAGGATGTCCTCAGCGAGTGATTCTCAAAACATTTCTGGGGAGCCTATAGTCCAATCCGAGATCTACTCGGATGTGCAGTCTTCAAGCGAGCAACCCTCGACACATGATGATTCTGCCATGGCCGAGGAGGTTCAAGATAACCTCCGGATTGAAGCGGAGGTTGAAGAGTTTGAGCAAGTGGCCGAGGACGAAGAGCTGACCCTCGTCGTTCAAGTCGCTGAGGAGGAGGAGGAAAAAGAGCGGATGAAGGTTACCGTTGCCGTTCCGCCCCCTACAATGATGATGAAGCCGGAATCTCTCGGCCCCTCAACCCGGAACCTCTTAGGGTTGCTCCAGGTAAGAAAAAGAAGAAGATTAGGGCAGCCCCAAAGAAGAAGTCGGCTGCTGCTGACGCTGGGCAACCCGTCGGCATTCCTGAGGGTCATTCTTACTTGAACACTGCTACCCTGGAGGTAAAGACGAAGGCAGCAGATGCTGACTACCAAGCTGTGCAATTCTTAGTAGGGCCCTCGGCACGTGTGCTGGAGCCGGGATCGGACGACGTTCTGTTGCGCGCTACTAAGGGCTGCTTCGCGGTCCATATCCTATCTGTGGAGTTGGGCCTCCGGTTCCCTCTCCATCCCTTCGTGCTCTAATATCTCCGTTTTGTGAAACTCGCTTCCTGTCAGTTGACCCTGAACAATCATTCTTACTTGGTCGGTTTTCTCTCCCTTTGCCGGAGCAGGGGGGTAGAGCCCACCTTGGATCAATTTTTTCTCTCATTCAATCTTTGCCGAGGGGGTCACTCCAACGTCGGGGGTTTCGCCAATCTGCAGCAGGTTCCGGAGTGGAGATTATTGTCTGAGGTGCCTTCCTCCCACAAAGGGTGGAAGGATAAGTTTTGTTACATCCGCTTGGCGGAGAACCCCTTCCCTACTCCTCTCCGTGATAACTTCCGGGGGCACCCGAAGGTTGGGACCGCTGCTCTTGAGAAGAAGGGGAGAAAACTTGCCGAGAAACCGGAGGGGTTCGACAAGTTGGAGACAATTAAAGATGCCACCCTTCCGGATGAACTGTACTTATTAAGCTTCCGGAGGTACCGGGTGGTGGGAGAGAAATACCCTCCAATTGATCGCGTTTACGAGAGTGCCGAAGGTGCTTACCGAGGGCTTCCTATTTGTGTACTTAGCATTTTCTTTTCTTTTGTCATGATCTTAATACTTTCTTGTTTTTGCAGGTGAAGCCATGGATGCTAAGACCTTCGCTAAACTGAAGAAGCAATCGGCCAAGGAGCCCAAGAAGAAATAGGGCCCGTCCCGGCAGAAGCCTGCGGACGAGTTCTTCAAAAAGGCCAACGCCGGCAATGTTCAGGGGAGTGAGAAGCCCTCGAAACAAACTGATGCAGCCATAGGTGTTGTTGCCGGTACTGATGCCGGAGGCTCCCAAGCCGAGGAGCTCAAAAGGAAGAGTCGGGAAAGGCGTGGTGCCCCCGGAAAAGAAGCAAAAGAAGGGCTCCGACGGCCAGAAGAAAGATGCCCCCGTCTTCATCTCGGAGGAACAGTCCTCTTCCCCCGAGCCGCACGTCGCCTGGGTGACAACTCCTCGTTCCCCCCGGCTCCGGATAGCACATGGCCCCGGGAGGATGTGCAGTTCTCCACCAAAAAGGGGACTGCCATTATGCATGGCACCCTCGACGCCACAGAGTTCATCAGGGCGGCGACCCCTTCGAAGGACAGGCTGGTGCTGTCGAGGTATGATAATGATGCCATCGACCGAAAGATCATCCAGGCCTCTATCACTGTAAGTGCTGAGAGCTTCCCTTCCCCTTAGTTTAATTTTCCTTAGTCTTTCCTTCCTGTATTGTATTCTGACTCTTAGTGCTTTCCTATCCGTTTGCAGGCTAGCGTGGCCCTCGGGGAGCAAGTCTGGAGGGTGGAACAGCTGCGCATGAGGAAGATGCAGGCCGGCGAGGCTTTGAAGAAAGTTGTTGAAGAGAACACCATCTTCCGGAAGAAGATGGCCGAGATGGAAGAAACCCTCTGGCTGGCTACTGAGGGGATGGACCAGAAGTTGGAGGCCGCCAGAAAGGAGGCTAGGGCCGAGGGCAAGGCTGAGGCCGAAGAGGTAGTTGTTGTTGCTGCCAAGACCGCCGTCGAGGCCGCTGAAACTGTTAGGAAGGAGGTGGTCGCCAAGGCCGAGACGGACGCCGTAGATGCCTTCGCAGCTGAGGGATGGAAAGTCGAAGAGCGGAAGACGTGGCTGGCTTCAGTGGTGGAGCAATCGATGGATGCATGGGTTGGAGGCCCCGGTGCCATGTGACTTTCCCGGAAGGGCAAAGGCTATTATGAAGGAGGTGAGTTTTTTACTCAAGCCATGCTCTACCAAAAGCTAGCCTGGCATTTCAGCATGGACCCTAAAGACTTTGATCCGGCTCCCTATGGCCTTCCCCCTCTGCAGCCAGATGTTCATGTCCCCTCATGCATATATATATCTGGTGATATCCTCGAAAGGCGTCGAGGAAAGACATGATTTCACATCCCGTTGTTTCGTCCACCAGCTGGTCAATGTTGGGTAAAGGGAAAGGATCCATAGGGCATGCCTTATTCAGATCTGTGTAGTCCATGCACATGCGGAAGGTAGGGGGATT